GCTGCTCAGCTCCCGGCAGCCCCCGGCCGGCTGCCCCCCCGACACCTTCCGGGCCCTGGGCCTCACTCTCCTGGCCTGTTTCTGCACCGACCCGGAGCTCGCTGGGCACTCCCAGGTCCTGAACAAAATCCCGACCTTCAATGACGTCCTGGTTTCCCCCAGCGATCCAGAGAGCACGTCCATGATCGATGATGTGTACCAGTGCCTCAGTGCTGTCCTGGCCACAGCCAGGGGCCCCAGAGAGCTGGTGACCAAAGGGACAGTGCCTGCCCTGTGCCAGGCCTACCTGAGTGGCAGTTATGGCTCTGCCCGAGCCCTGGCACTGCTGCAGGGGCTGTTGGCCATTGCAGAGACCAGGTGCTGGCAGAGAGATGCTCCACAGCTCCTGGCTGTGCTGGGCAAGCTCTCTGATGATTTCCTCAAGGCTGAAGACATGACCAAGTTTGAGCTGTGTGAGGTTCTGCCTCACTTCATCCCCCTGTCACCACCACCCACGCAGGACTCGCAAGGCTCCGAGTGCCTCCACAGGCTCTACAAAGGGCTGGCTGACATCCTGGGCAGTAAACTCAGCCAGTCTCAGAGGGACCCTGCTCTGAAGCTTGCTGCCTGCCTCGTGCAGGCCTGTGGGTCAGAGTGGATCCCAGCAGGGAGTGCTGGAAGCAAGTTCCTGGCCTTGCTGGTGAACTTAGCTTGTGTGGAAGTCCGGCTGACCCTGGAGGAGCCAGGTCCCTTGGATGTAGAGGGGAAAAAAGAAGTGGTAACAGCCTGCTATGTCCTTATTGAGATGGGGATCCAGGAGTGCCTGAGAGAAGATAAACCACTGCTAGAAGAGAAGCAGAAAATGCAGCTCATGAGGATCATGGAAGAGGCATTTGGAGCTGTAATATTCTACTTGAGACAGGTAATGCCCTGTGGGTTTCACACCTGCAGTAGCTTGAGAAGACAGCACCCTAACAATTTTCTGTTTTCTTCTTCGTGCAGGTTAAACAAGAGGAGCTACAAGATCCTTTCATATTTGCTTCTGTTCGAATTCTTGGAGCCTGGATGGCAGAAGAGACATCCTCCCTCAAGCAGGAAATCTGTGAGCTCTTGCCTTTCCTTGTTCATTATGCTAAGAAGCTTTTCCAAGAGGGCAGCCCAGCTGTGAGCCTTCCCCAGCCCGAGCTGGTCAGCACCAAGGGCTCAGCCTTACCCCAGGATGCTCTGAGGTGTGTATTTTAAGCACAGAGTTGATCCATTTTAGCACAAACCTGCTAGAATCTTCTGCTGTTTCCCCATTCTCAATCCCATGGCTCTTTTTTCCCTCCCTCAGTTTGATGTAAATGGAGGGCTTAGACCCATTCTACCTCATGTTCCAAATTTCTTTCCCCTTCCAGATTTCTGCTACCTGGCTTTTGCCATTTAACAGCAGAGGACAGACCCCGGGACATCCTCATCTCAGCAGGGGCACCAGCACTGCTGTGTGAGTACTTCCTCCATCAGTGGGAGGTGCTGACCTCTGTTCCCAAGTCCCTGACCCCACTGACCAGCACTGAAATGAGCCTACAGACTGCTTGTGGGATTTTCCTTAACCTTGTTGTGACTGCACCAGACTTCATAAGGTCAGTGAGAAGGAAGAGGGTGGGTGTCCCTTTCTCCACACCAGTTTCATTACCTTTTTGGTGTTGCATCAACCTAGACATTTTCAGGTGCTTCTGGCTCTGCTCAAGAAACAGATGTCCATGTTTGATTTCTCTCTAGGCAAGACAAAACCTTTTCCTCTTTGATGGACATGTTGCTGAAGTCTCTGCCCCTGCTGCTGTCCCAGAAAGATCTCCTGGTTCTGGCAGCCAACGTGGCCACTCTGGGGCTGATGATGGCCAGGATCCTGGCAGGCTCAGCAGGTAAGATTTCCCACCAGCAAAGCTACACATTGCTCTGCATAGACAGAAGCCAGTGATGGAGAAAGCAGATCCAAGGGAAATGGGTCCAGTTTCTGTCATTAGAAAAGTGACAAAACCAAAAGCCTGGAGGAGCAAGGGACATGCAGAGGATCCCACAGGCTGATGGGCTGGGTTAAGGGCTTTCTTGGGCAGGAGGGTGGGGTTCTGCTCTCCCCAACAGCCCTATCAGAGTCTCCCTCCTCTGACCAAGCAAGCTCTGTGTTGAGTCATCCACTTCCTTTTTCTTCCAGCTCTTCAGGGTTCCCAGTCTGCCCAGGAGTTCTTCAGAGCTGCCATTCTCTTCCTATCCCAAGCCCACACAGCCCAGGCAGACCCCGGGAGCGAGGCCATGGTCCTGGCTGTGTCCCCTGCCTACATGGGTGCCTGGCCCGAGGTGGGTGAGCTCTGGTTCCTGGGGATGCAGGCCCTGGCTGCCTGCCTGCCCCTCTTCCCCTGGCTGCCCCAAGCTGTGCTGCAGACACACTGGCTGGAAAATCTCTCCGAGCTCCTGACCCGCGTCGCTCCAGCCTCGGTGGATTTTGAGCTCGTCGCTGCTTTCCAGGGTGTGTTGGTAGAGCTGGCCAGAGCCAGCAGGCCCTGCAGGGATGTGATCCTGTCCCACCACGGCACCGAGTGGGCCAACCTCTATGGGATGGCAGCTTTGGAGCAGTGTCTGTCTGAGCAGTGAGGAGCCAGCAGCACCCTGAGGTGGGAAATTAAGCCAGGCACCTACACAAGAACTATTCAATGTTTTTCTCCTGCTCCCAGAAGTGCTGGATGGGGACAAAAAAAACCAAAACAACAAAACATTTAAATTACCAAACTGTATAAAACTGGAGTGATGCAGCAGAGCTCAGCAGGATTTGCAGTGTCTGCAACCTGATGTGCAGAGCCATTGCTGCCTCAGAACATTTACATGCACCTGATTCACATTCTATCTATATTAGTAAAGATTTTTTCTGCTGCTTCGTTTTTCAGACTCGTGCAATGTTGAGATTTATTTCTTCCTGGGACCCAGGAGGTTGCCTCATTCTCCCAGTTTCCCCACAATAAGCCTCTCACCATGTCACCTGGTTTTCTGTCAGTCCTGCATGTGTCAGGAAACTTAACTTGGCACTACCTGTAGAAGGCTGCAAAAGGCAGGAACAGGAGGAGCTTTAAAATTGACCCAAAGCAGTGAGAACAACTTGTCACAGCCCTGTGTCTTCTGGGGTGAAGTTGCACCAAGGCCCTTTTGCTGTATGGGGGGGACACAACTTCTCTGCTTGTATCCATGACTGATACCATCATGCCATATTCCTTCCTAGAAAACCTTCACAGCCCCACTTTCTGTTGCCTGGTTTGCCCTGTAAACACCTGCACAAGGCACAGCTCTAAGGGCATGTGTTAGATCAGGGTCCCTCTGCTGCAGGGGTGGGATGTAGGGGGGAGTTTCCCCCCCCTTGCAAGGTGAGGGGTTCAATCTGCAGAGACCTTGGCTTTTTTTGGAGCCTTTGGGGACAGACTGTGACAGCAGAGAGGAGTGAATTGCACCTACATGACTCCCAGCAGACCCAAGGGTAGTTTGCTTTGCAGGCCACAGGTACGACGAGGGGTAAAAAGCCTGTACAGTCCGTGCAGCCCGGGCTGCAGCTCACGGGAGCTCTGTCAGCTGCAGTGTAGGAATCCCAGGACGAGCAGCCGGGTCGGGATGGGGTTTGGGAGCTGGTGGCTTTCCGAGCTGCCGCCCGGGTGCAGCCGGTTGCGGGGAGCGATTCCACCAGGTGTCAGTCGAGGAGCTCTTTGGGAGCAGCAGCCTGGCCAGATCAAGGCGTTCATCGGCTGCCCTCGGAACTCGGGCTTTGGAAGCTGATGGGGAGAAAAGTCAGGCGAGGAACTGTCTCAAAAGCCGGGCTGAGTCCGGCTGTGCTCCTGCTTTAGTCAGTATTTTTAGCTCGCTGCTGAGGAAACGCCTCTCACAGCCGGGGAGGAGGCGCCTTGGTCAGGAAAAGTCTTTCTGATCATTCCAGCTCAGCCCTCAAAAGTTAATGCAGGTCGGGACAAGGTGGGTGCCACCAGAGAGCCCTGCAAGCCAAGCAAGCACATGAGCCTCCTGGCCTTGCAAAGCTCTGCCCGAGCGTGGGCTGGGAGAGTCTGCCCGTCCTGCCAAAAACCTCATCCCTGCAGCCCGGGGAGGCTGCAGCACGTTGGGAGAGTCAGGAACACACTTCGGATTGTCAGAAAAAAACCATCCAAACCCTCAAGCACTTTACCTTGGGCTGCTTCAGTCGCTCACACTCTCTTCTGCCTCTGGCTAAAGGGCGTTTGCTTCCCATTAATGCAGGGCCGTCATTAGCGCTAATGAGAGATAATACCTGTATCAGCAGGAGGCTGCTCTCCTCTCTCCCAGCGCCTCGCTGGTCTGCCTGTGGCTGGCAGGGCTGGTTTGGCTGTCCTTCATCCCCGCAGGCAGTGGTAGAAGCTTCCACAACACCTCACCAGAGATCAAGGCTGGGCTGCAGGACCCCATCCAAGACCTGAGCACTCCTGGACCCGGGGGCCTTTGCCTGCTGGTCTTGAATTCCCAGGCAGACCCCTCCATGTGAGCAAACCAGGAGCCTGGCAAAGTCCTCCCATTTATCCTTCACCACAGCCCAGGGCAGTGGGGTTTGGCCACCAGCAGGTGCCTGGAGAGGAGCACCTGTCCCTGATTCTCTCTCTATTCAAGGGAAACTCCTGTCAGCTGTGAGAGGACCATCCAGGCCTTGCCAGAGTTGGACCCTCCCAGAGACCAGTGGCCCATCAGATATTTGTTTATTTTCATAACACAAAACACACTCCTCTTGGCTGCCTGTGAGCTGACAGAGACACCAGCCTTGATCTGGGATGTTACTGGGCTGAATGCTGGAGGAGATGTGCTGTGTGAAGGGATCCTTGAACAGTATCACAGCTCTCTTGTCCCAGGACTCCACTTCCCAAACACATTCTCAGACAGAGCACCCCTAAAAGGCTGGTTTACCCCCGTGGGCTGACAACCCCGAGCTCTGACAACAGGGAGCACAGCAGGTGCAGGAGGGGAGAACACTGGAGCTGGTGGAGGCCTCCTGTGATGGGCATCTCCGTTGGCTCTGCTTGTGCCCGTCTGCAGGTCCTGGCATGCCTGGGGCTGCTCTGCCCAGCACAAGAGGGATGATGCCCCAGCAGCCTGGCCAAGGCTTCAAAGGCCACGGGGTGCCTCCTTGGCCACCCCAAGCTTTGCAAACCCAACCACAGGTTCTGCCACCAGCACCTGGCATCCGCGGGCATCGAGCCTCTAATGCCAGAAAGGTGGGTGATGGTACCACCTGATGTTCCTGGTCTGCCACAGCACTCAGAGATCCCAGCACAGAGTGGGATTGCAGCCAGCAACACCCAGAGCAAACTGGGCTTTATGTCCCAGTGCATTTTCAACACCAGGATGAGCTCTCCAGGAACGAGCCAGTCACTCCCCATGGCTTGGACAAGATGGATAAGTCCCCAGAGGAGCAGAGGCACATTCAGTTTCATTTTGACAGCTTAAATGTCACAAAGCCATTGCAAACATGACCATGGCACACATTATCTTACAGTGTTTATTCATACCAACCCAAAAGCACTGGCAATAACATTAAATATTTCATAGGGTTGTTATTTGGCTGCCTCAGGAATCCAAGCACAGCCCCCTCCCACAAACAGGGGTTGGTGGGGATGGGAGGCCTGAGCAGTGAAGAGGGTCCATGTGCTTCTCCCCAAAGCCCTTCCTGGCCCTCCAGTCCCATTGCAAGGAGCTTCATTCCCCACCCAGATAAAACTCATGGGAGGAGGGATACGGGTAATTATAGGAGCAGCCACATTTCTCTGAGGGGACGACAGGACCTGGGCATCTGGGACAAACCAGTTCACCTTTGGCAGAGAAGAGACCCTCGCTGGAGTGTCCATGGCACTACCCCCCTGCTCAGCAGGTATTTTCACTGCTGACCCCCCAGAGTGGAGGTTGCTGCCTCAAGCCCCTCACATGCTCCTGGAAGAGCCCACATACACATTGATCTCCCTGGGAAGGAGCATGGGGACCTTTCTTACAAAACCAGTTTTGCAGAGATTTCTGGCTTGGGTGCAAACACAACAAGTGGTCCCTGGGGTAGAGACATGGCCCAGACCATCAGCAAATGCTCCTTGTAACTTGGAGTGAGGGGCCAGCTCCTGTGTTGAGGATCTTGGCACGATCATGTCATCCTGGTAGCAAACATGGAGGACATTTGGCAGAGCAAAGCACGGGCACAGCTGGACAGGGGCTTTAACCTGAGAAGCTCCAGGGCAGGGAGAGGCTGGAGACCTGCATGTGACTGTCCTGTGTTCAGATGAACCCCAGTAACAGATATGGTTGTGCTGAACCATTAACAGGACCAGGCAGTGCTGGAGTGTGTACAGCACCTGTGTCTCACCTTGCCTGGTTCCTTAGGACAGCAGGTTAAAGCAAGTAATTGTTCATCATCTCCACTGGTGGTTTAACAGTTGCCTTCTGCCCACAGAAGGCCCCTGGGTTAGTTTGTCCCCAGCACTGGGCAGGTGGAAACACTCTTAGCAAAGTTGTATGGAGGGAATGGGGCAGTGAGGAGCTCTGGAAGGTCTCAGACATGTTGCAAAAACTGTTCAGGTGCTGGCAGGGCTCTGGTGTGTTGTGGGGTAGGACCTGAGGCCTGGGAAGGTGCTGCTTGTGCTCCCAGGGCAAGAGAGCCAGGGCAGAGGAGCTGTGGGGGCTACAAACAGTGGGAGAGGAACAGTGGGGACAGCAGCAGCCACAGCCACTCACCCTTGGCTGCTGCAAGGTCCTTTGTCCCCTCCCTGGGTAGTGGGTAGTGCTGTACCTGGGGAGGGGAGGGGGTGAGACCACCTGGCAGCCCCGTGGCCTCCCCAGGCTCCCCAGCCCCCTGCCCCAGCACACCACACTGCCTGGAGCCCGGGTTGCCCGGCACGTTGGGTGGCAGTGGTGCAGCCTTTTGTTTTTCCTTCCCTTTGTCTGTCAGGGCTGCAGGTTTCCTCTGCTCTGTCCCATTTTTTGGGGGTGGAAACACAGCTTCCCTCCGAGCTGCTGCCAGGGAGGACCCTCCCACTCACCCAGGGTCCCACACACGGGCTGGCTGGCAGCCCTTCCCGCCTGGATTTTGCACAGTTTCCCCTCTTTCAGATGAAAAACACGGACTAGATGTGAAAGAGACATTAAGAATCAACTGGAACGTAACTGCAAAATACAGCATGTCCAATCCAATTTTTCCTAGCAAATGAAACGGTTCTGGTGGAAAATAAACACAGAACTTTCAGGAGCAGCGTCCTTGAACAGTGTTGGAGGGGGATGAAGAGATTTGAATAGATCAGCCCTTTACACCTCTGCACATCACTCCTCCCTCCCTTAAACTTTTGTTTTTCCTTCCCTTTGTCTGTCAGGGCTGCAGGTTTCCTCTGCTCTGTCCCATTTTTTGGGGGTGGAAACACAGCTTCCCTCCGAGCTGCTGCCAGGGAGGACCCTCCCACTCACCCAGGGTCCCACACACGGGCTGGCTGGCAGCCCTTCCCGCCTGGATTTTGCACAGTTTCCCCTCTTTCAGATGAAAAACACGGACTAGATGTGAAAGAGACATTAAGAATCAACTGGAACGTAACTGCAAAATACAGCATGTCCAATCCAATTTTTCCTAGCAAATGAAACGGTTCTGGTGGAAAATAAACACAGAACTTTCAGGAGCAGCGTCCTTGAACAGTGTTGGAGGGGGATGAAGAGATTTGAATAGATCAGCCCTTTACACCTCTGCACATCACTCCTCCCTCCCTTAAATGCCATCTTTAATAGAAATAAATTAGAATAAATGATCAGCCCTTGCCTCCTAAAGACAGGTGGCAGAGTAATATTAAAAGAAATGAATAAAAATTCATTTAATGAGCATTGTTAATTAAACCTGGAAATCAAAGAGGTCTGAGTTGTGGGAATTCAGAGGAAAAATTAAAATTAAGGGAGCTGTAGCTCGGGGCAGGAAGAGTGGAATTAAATTAAATGCAATGTGGGATTGTGTTTGTTAATGTCGATCACACATCCCGGTGCTACAGCGGGGTAAGGGGTTTGTTCTCTGCTTGCACACAAATCACAACCGTCCACCACCGGGAACTCCCGCACAGCAATGGGCAGCCCGCACACGGTGAGACGGCGGGGACACCACGGGGACACCACGGGGACACCACGGGGACACCACGGGGACACCACGGGGACACCACGGGGACACCACGGGGACACCACGGGGACACCACGGGGACACCACGGGGACACCACGGGGACACCACGGGGACACCACGGGGACATGGCCACGCAGAGCCGGGACGCGGCCCGTGGGCCGCGGAGGGTGGCGGGGCGAGGGTGTGCGTGGGTGTGGATGCTGCGTGTGCATGTGCTGGTGTGCATCCCCTGCACCCCTCTGCATCCCCGCACCCCTCTGCATCCCCCTGTATCCCTGCACATCCCAGTGCGGGTGCGTGTTACCGCGGGGGGGTCTCTACGGGGATGACTCGGTGCCACCACCGGTGCCCGGTGCCCGGTGCCCGGTGCCCGGTGCCGTGCTCCGGGGTACCCGGTGCTGCAGGCCCGCCTCGCCCTGCCCCGGAGGGGGGGCCCAAACAGGGGGAGGGGAGAAGAGAAGG